CAAAAGCTTGTCCTCATATTTCGGGACTTTTTATTTTCCTTCCAATTTTCAGTGACCTCCACTTATGTTTTCTATTGATTCTGAAATGATCGAACCTTTATTCAGGATGGTCAGTCCTATGCGATGATCCCGTGCGTATCATGACGGTCTACGTGCCGGAAAAAGACGAGTCGTTCGACATTCTGGAAATCATTGAAAAACCGGTGTTCCTCGATTTCCACCGACAGACGCTCAATCTGTATTGCAAGCTGGCAAGTCACGGCAATCAAAAGGTAACGTGAAATCTCGGGGCGTACCGTACCTTAGCCCTCTGGGCACAGTTCCACTTTACGAGGAATATTCATGAAGTCGGCTCGAATCGACAGGTCGGATGTTACTCACGAGCTCGAAAGAACTTCCCAGAAACGCAGAATTTGGGTTATTGTGTGTGGCTGACCTCTTCCAACTTTTCCTCTTTTCCCAAAATTATTATTTTCCAAGTATTAACAGTTACTACTATTGATGTGATCTCTCTTCAGGTAGCGCACATTTTATGTTCACATGTGGACGAAGACCAGATCATGTACGCCGTGAAAAGCCATTGTAAGTTCACTTCTTGAAGAAATTGTTAGTTTCTTACGAGCGGATGGTCCCTTTCGGTCAGGATGTGTTCCGAGGCTTCTTGTTAGGATGGACGAAAAGCCGTGCGACACTTTGAACGAATTGTTCTAAATGACTGCTTCCATCATGGTCCCTAATTTTTACCGTAGTGAACAAAAACTTGCTAAACGACATCAACTCGGAAACCGGATCGACGGCTTAATCGCAACACAGCAGCCGCATTTTTGGAAGAAGTGGAGTCCAGAAGCTGCCCGAAAAATGAGCACTTGTCTTACCTATCAACGGTGATTACCTTGCAGACTGGAAGACTCCTTCAGTAAGAAGAAATTCTGTCTGAAATTCTGCCCGAAGTGTCGCAATACCTTTTCGTCCAGCCTGACACTTGCAATGTTTGACAGTGAAAGCCTTTTTGTGTTCTTGTAATGAGCAACTTTTTTGGTGATTTCTATAGATATTTTGGTGTTTCGAGTTCAGA